CGCCGCTTTTAGCAATATTCCAGCAACATCACGGCGGGGGACACCAGAAATGGGCTTCACACATTGTACCCATGTGGGGATTCGAACCTGGGTCTTCGGCGTGACGAGCCAACGCTTTAACCACTAGGCTACCCCACCGCCGGATTACAGAAGATCAATCCTAACCCGTAACTTCACTTGACCTCCGCCATAGAGCTGGAATATTGCTGAGTGCGGCGTAAAACTAAACTCACTCACTCACTCCACACATACAATGAATTACATTTTGAACATTGTTACACAACCTCATAACACAATGATACAGGTCCACGGTAGCAATCACTGATATCAGGCACAACGTTGGTTGGTTTGGTTTGTTGTATAATGCCGCACTCAGCATCTTTCTACGTAATTTGAACAGTCCTTAACGAAATATGGTGCTTTGGTTGAAGTGGAAGGGTGTAAACAATAACAGTTTATTCTATATATTTGACATCTGAGGTTAGCGCACAAAGCAATACACGGAAACTACATTGCAACTTACGAGGTCGTTGCTCTACGATCGCTGGACGGATGGGCCCTGGCCACACAATCTACTGGGCCTCTTTTCACAAGCAGTATCTGAGGTTGGAGTGCTCACTCTGAGACCCCTTGGGTCAACAGAAAAAGTGGGGTGAGGTGAAATAGGGTTTAACGTCGTACTTCAGATTATTTCACTCATATGACGACACACATGCATGTGTATGTATGGCTGCTTGTATTAGACCAGACTTAAGCTGGTTTTATAGTGCTAGCTCACTGAGATGCCATGCCGCAATATAGCATGAATACCCCACTCAGACATATTATACTGACTCCGAGCCGACCAGTTCTTGTTGTACCCATTAATGCCGAGTCCTAGGCAGGGATCAACAAGTACCCTATTTTAATGTCTTTTTGTATGACGCGGTCGGGGAACTTGCTCCCTTCCGCTCTCCGGGCGGACGCTCTAACCACTACACCACGGAGGCGGTCGCCACATAGAAAGTCAGATAGAGAAACTGATGGGGAAAGCATGCCAGGGCGATATGGGGACACAAACCTACTGTCCCAATAAAATACAAGTTATATGCAGATGTGTTTCCTGTGGATTTTACCGTGTGATATTGATCTAACTTCTAAATGTATTTGTGGAAGTTACCAGTATTAATTACCTATTCACCTGTAAAATATATTACCTTTTAACTAAAACGTATATAAATTACTACATAGATTCATGAAGGGTGAAATTTACGGGTGTAAATTATTTCAGATACAACATGATAAATAATTTGTTGAAACAAAACAATATATTAGTTACTTATAGCATTTAACAGTACTTGCAAAAATAGATATTGCATGTAAACTCACGGGCGAAAGAAACGTCCCAAAAATGATTTTTCTTAATCTTTTATCGTACACTAAGTGATTATTCATATCTGTAGTTCACACTTTCATCATTTAGAATGCTGTAAATCCATTAATTTTCCAAATATGATTGTTAAATTTCCAATATCTGAGTTTGTTGTTTTGTGACAATTTAAAAAAGCGAGGTGACGTTTCTTTCGCCCATGAGTTTATATGAATCTTACTCTGTAAGTTGTTTAGATTACTCCCTAGACTTGTCCTTGCTTATTAAACATGAGAGTAAAACCATTTTCAGATGAATACTAAAAACTGTATCCACTCAAAGAGGATGTCAGTAAACAAACAACAAAATCAAGTTATATTTGTTTGTTGTTTAACGCCGCACACGTCAACACTCCGGGGATGTAACGGTGCCCTGCATAAAATCGAATCTGGACTAGACAAACAGGTGATTGATATTTTGAGCTACACTCCAGCCAGTCATCAAAGTCAGCGAGCCTGATCCATAGAGGCGTTTCGTATCCTTGAACTTCTATCAATAACAAAACAGTTAACTAATATCGGGCAATGAAACTATAAATATCAATAACAAAACAGACAGACTAATATGTTAGAAGATAAACAGCCGGGCAAAACAATGTGTATATATCTTTTTAATAAAATTTTCCCTTATCACATCACCATCACAAACCTGTATCCTGCTTGTTTCAGTTTTAGCCATGAGTGTTACGGTACAAAATGTTGTTTGCACTATTTATATAACATAGTAACGTCTATTTTTATTCTGTCATTTACAAATGGTGCAATGTCGCATGAAAGGTTGTTTCCTGTTATGAATACACTATGCCATTTAGAAATTGGTCAAATGTAACATGTTATATTTCGGATTACAATTTTTCAGTAAAGTTCTTGTACTTTTTGTTGGGTGGAGTTCCATCGAATCGCAGGTGTGGGTTCGAATCCCGGATGGGACTCAAGCCAGCAAAAAATACTATAATCTGTACTTTAAAATACTGAGAAAGTGTAATCCCAAATATAACATTTGTTTCTAAGGGTGTTACTTATAAGATTATTGACACGTGCATGGTTATCACTCTACTTTTCACACTGTCCAAGACAGAAATGTAGCCATTTTATGGGCGATTCACTGTCATCGATTTTCATGTCTAGGTAACGGAAGATGTCGACTGGTCCCGAAGATGATCAATTCGCCAGATGCATTCGTGATCACTCGCCCGTTTCCGTAACCCAAAAGAACATTCGGATCATCCCGGAATTACACGAGTGGTAACGGACAAAACGCGGCGAAGATATCTAAAAATAGTTTTCTATTTATAGATGCGAAGGCGAGGTATAAAATATCAACAGTCGCAAATGGGACGCACTGTTGATCAATCGGCTGTCGATCTAATGTGTTGGTGTACACCACCACCAGGTAAGCAACACTTAAATATGGCCTTAGGAAACCCATGATTTACGTATGATGACGTCTGGAATTATATTGCACCTATGACTTTACTTTTATTTTCATACCTGCATTAATGAAGTTTAAGGTTTCTTGTTAATTCCTCACTCAGCAGTGCCAAGCTATATGAATGTGATCTGTGAAGAATCGAGTTTGGACCATACAATTTCGTGATTTACATCATGAGATAAACATGGGTTGCTGAAAGACCAATCCTCTGGGATCTTCACTGGTCTTTTATAGTGATTTAATGGGTTTAATATTGAACTAGAAATATGAAACCCAATCCTAGTTAAAATTAAAGTTAAAATCCGAGTTAAAATTTGTGTTGGATTTTTATTCGTTTATAATGTCAGTCCAGTCATGTCTTATGTTATGTGGCTATGAAGAAATTACGTATTCTAAGTTACACCACAAAGACACTGCGTGGCTGCGTTGCCTTTGTGAGTGATTATAGTTTACACCGCTTTTAGCAATACTCCAGCAAAATCACGGCATGGGACACCCGAAATGGGGTTCACTCATTGTACCTATGTGGGGAATCGAACCAGGGTCTTCGGTGTGACGAGCGAACGCTTTAACCACTAGGCCACCCCACCGCCCCGGTAACGTTGTGGATGAGGCGTTTTGACCCAAGACCCAGTTTGGAGCAGTTTCCGATGGAGATATAAAGCCCTTTCTTTAATTAATTAATATGATTGGTGACAAATCCATTACTTGTGAAAAATGATTTTTAGTCAATGTGTGAGTTATACAAAACATATTAGGGCAGCAGTAGTCAAATATCTAGTGAATGAATGAGTGAGGTGCGGCCGATTGATGACAGTGAGTGAGTTAGCCAGGTTTATGCAGCTTTTAGCAATATTGCGCCGGGAGACACCAGAAATGGGCCGTCACGATGTGTCAATCTGGAGAATCGAACTTTGGCCTTCCAAATGACTAGTGAACGCTTTAATCACAAAGCATGATGGTAGATCCAGCTATGTCCAGTGGAATATCATTTTTGCGACCATAGTCTGATGACGACGACGATTTGATTTATGCGTTTTTTCTAATCATTTAGACCACGAAGTGTCAAATTAATCTGAGGAAATTAGCCTGTCCGAGTGGGAAAGCCTGAGGACATAGCCTGTAGATCTAGATCGCCCTTGTGTCCCCTCACACATGCAGCTAAACACCGAAGTGTCCTTGGGACCTACACGTAAATGCTTCGAGTTATTCGAAGTTCGGCAAAACCGTAAAATGATGACAAAATAAGAAATACGCAAGGACCAAGCTTTTGCTTTCAGACATTCTTAGGTTCGACACATCGCGTGAGTGAGTGATTCTAGTTTTACGCCGCTTTTAGCAATATTCCAGCAATATCACGGCGGGGGACACCAGAAATGGGCTTCACACAATGTACCCATGTGGGGAATCGAACCCGGGTCTTCGGCGTGACGAGCGAACGCTTTAACCACTAAGCTACACCACCGCCCCTCGACACATCGAAGTTCGTAACAACTATACTATAATGTCGGTTGGTGACAAAACGAAACCAATATTTCACGATACATATGTTGTATACATGTATCAGTCACAGCAAGTGTATTCAATTCATAATAACGGAGTATTTCATAATTATTGATAAAGATTTAGCGAGGTTGATTTTTTTTCTATGATTCTATGGCAATCCCCTGATGAAAGGGCAAGAACTAGCCAAGAAACGTGTTGGAAGCAATAAAGAAGTTGTACACGATCCATGCCATGCGTTGTTATATTACCTTGGGCTTCCAACTTCTAAATGCCATTCAAGTATCTGACTCTATGACGCTGAAGTGCAGAAAATTAACATTTCCTGGTGATGAGTTCATGAGTAATTAGAATAAGGAAGTCTTTCGCAATGTGTAGGTCAATTATGTTTTGTCCTTATCTTCTCAACACCACTATTCACCATTAAATATGTGTTCAGGAAAATCATTGAAACACGTCATTTATGTGCATTGAAAGAGTTTTCTTATCTGATGGATTGCTTGAAAAGGGAGAGAAATGTGATAATAGATCAGAATATCAATTGTTTGGTAGCAATATGGTCGCCACGATTTTTATCTATTTCGTCTATTTAATTTTCAGTAATCCAATCGTACGATAGCTTGTCTAAAAATAGAATGACATCACATTTCCGGTACACATGCGCAGTTAGGCACTGTCATCTCTTCCGTCTAGATTGATGAATATAGCTTCCATCTGACAGTTACGCCCGGCTAAAAAGCGTAAGTTATGAATACGAGTTACTTGTTATAACTCATGGATGTACTACCTTTATCGTGATAAAAACAACAAAAGGTTCGTGTGTGGTGAAATAGCTTCTTCAAACGTGCGTAATCACACCGGGAGTGGGTCGAGTATCTGAAACTTACCAAAATGGCGGACCCTCTGCATGTCAAATAACATTCCCTCCCATTAAACCGGCCGATTTGTAAGATCAGAGATAAGCGTGCGTTGCATTGTGTACTCACTGTACATAATCAGGTGGTACGTTATTATTTTATGTTTTAACATTTCAGTTTTAACCTCCTTGTGAGCAAAATGTTTTGAGTTTAGCACGGCATTGATGCTCGGCGGAAGTACTTCCTCTCACAGCTCTTAGCACTCCTATATGACTAACTTAGGTCTTTTTGAAGAAATACTATAATACCTAGTCTTACGCTGCTTAGTTCCACTGTTCAACTAGGTTACATGCATTTTGATTTTACATGCTATGTACCATGGGCAATATCTTAGGTTGTATGCAATGGAATTTCGGTAGGGCTTCCATTTCTATCAAATTTCTTATTCATTTTAGGCATTTTTGACACACCAGCTACGACTACAACAGCATTGAAAATTCGATGAATATCCTTCTTACTCAAACCAACACCTTTACTGAATAAACATTATATGTTTAGTGTTCAAACCATCAAATAATTAATGATCAGTCCCAACATGGCTAACAATATGCATTCAATGATTCACAAGCTAATTCACAGTTATATGTGAGATTCACTAGTTCTAGTGGATGCAGCAAATACTAATTCTGCATTGGCTTAGTGTTGTTTTTTACAGTTTAGTTTTGTATGTTTCACAGCTGTTTTAAATTTGAGTCATTATTGTGTTACATATTTCAGGTAAACATCTTTCTTGATAGACCCAGAACGTGTATGTTGTGATTGATAGAATATGACATAAATGTAGAAGCAAATTTTACTGTTTGTTATGATGGAAAAAGTAATATTATGGCTTTGAAGAGTGGAGTTGTATTTCACTGACGAAATTGAGCAAAATAATAATTATTTTCCGAAATGGCTGCCAAGTGCACTTGTTTGAAATTCTGGATAAATCCTTCCACATACGCCTACACCCATATTTTTTGCACTACGACAGGGTAGTTTAGTGGTTAAGGCGTATTCACATGTCAGGTTTGATTCCCAATATGGGTAGAGTTTGTGAAGCCAATTTCTTATCTTCCCCCACCTCAATGTTGCTTGAATATTGTTAAAGGTCACATAAACCCTAGGGGTTAAAAATACATAAATCACTAACTCGCATCGTTATAAATGAAACCCCGTCATTAAAACTACTCATTTCGACCTTTAATTGACTTAAATCGACCTTTTTGACAACAGTGCACAATTCTCACCCGCGAACGAAATTTCAACCAATCAGAGCGGCGCGACTCTGTGACGTCATATGAGGAATAGCTTGGAGGGCCTGTGCAGAATTCATCTACATTTTAGGGGTTAAATTATCTTGTTTACAGGCTTGTATAAACCTGACATCGTGACAATTGTTGTGGAAAATGAAAGCTATATGTTCTCACAATCTACTGTCATTTAATTTTGTCTCCTGCTTTGCCTAGTTTCCGAGTTACAACTTGTTTTCATAGACGATTCTGTCAAAATCGATTGGTGTCGTTAGGCCCTATTTGTATAATGACTGATCCAAATTGCTCCCATTTCTGTGTTTTTTTACCTCGATATTTAATCATGTCATGTAAAAATCTGTTTGTATTCTCAAAACAGTGTCGGCCCATAAATTTTCACATGCAATACAGCAATTAATACTCCCTTGTTGTAACCCGTGTTAGGTGGTATAAACCTACACATGTTATTTGTCATCATTCACTTGATGGTCAGTTAATGAATTTATAACAGGTATAATTAGTGGTAACACACTTAAATTACCCCGACAAAGGTTCCCATTTGGCATTTCTTGTGTCTGGAGTAAATATTCAACATTATAAACATCGATCAAAGGATTAACCGTTAAAACACGCTGATTGATTAATTACTTTTATCTTGCACAGCGGAATTGTCAAAAGGTAGTGTTTATTTATGTAGATTTACTAATCTATACTGAATACACTCTGTCGTGTCGGTGTCTGCGTAAAAACAACGTCTTCTTTCAAAGGATTAACCTGCAATACATTGATTGATTGCCCATTATTGGCTAACTAAATTACTGTTTTTAAAGAAAGGCGGACATTATGCAATTAGTTGCCAGGTGTGCTATCTTGGGTGACCAATGAGACTATACACCAATACCTGAAAAGATTTATCACTTTTTCGTATATTAAACTGTTAAAAGACACATCATTTGGAACAGTTTTGTGGATATTGATGGATACATTCCTCGAACAAGGTAATGGCCTGATATTGTTCCTATAACTTTAATCTGTTTTAATTTTAATATTTGCATTTTGTTTTTATTCATTTGTCGTAGCATTCAACAGAATCATTGTTTTCGCCGTGAAGTGTAATGAGACAGACAACATGCACTAGGGTGTGTGTGCGAATTATGATTCACATTGGCAAACTATAAAATGTCTAGATATTACAGTTCTGTTATAAATTCACTATAAGTATCAGCAGATCGTCTGCTTTTTATTTAGTTTCAAAATGCATACAAGTATGATAATAAACTAATTAGGATTATAAGACCAAATATAAAGACGCACATTGACTAGTATCTACATACTGGTGAGTGGACATTAACCATGGGAATGTAGCAAGAAATTTATCGGCGCAGTATTGTGACTTCGACCCCCACCTGGCTTCCGTGGAAGAAATCGTTATGTTATAAGTTGTGTCATGCAAAATCCGTTTGGTTATGATTCCAATACATATTTAACTCTGAGTAGAAAGTAGTCTTGATTTTCTAACTTGATGAAAACAAACTATAATCTCATTAATTCTAACAGATTTTTTATTTTTAAAATGGCGGCCCTGTTGGGAACATCCAGCCAATCTGAGGATAAATGGTATTTAGGTTTGTTTCCACCGAAGTTACAAAATCAAAACTACTTTCTATTGGTAATAAAATATGTATTTTATTGATGGCCAATAGGATTTTGCATGACAAAGCTTATAACATAACAATTTCTCTCGTGGCAGCGAGGTGGGTGTCAATATACTACTTACAATATTATTGTTACTTGAACACAACCTCACTTCGAGGAAGAAATCGTTATGTTACAAGTTGTGTCATGGAAAATCTTTATGGTCATCAATCATATGCATATTTTACTACAACTAGTAAGTAGTTTTGATTCTTTAACTTCCGTGAAGCGATCTGAACACAAGTAAGATATCGCTTTCAGGCTTCCACAACGCTTCGCTTTGCACTCACAAACATAACCTATTTAGCACGAACGGCGGGTCCTGTGGAAATCTGTGCATGGGGACACCATCGCCCGACCCTAGGAGCAATTGACGACAAAGCATCGATTCGGCATGTAGCCGTGGTTGATGTCGATGTCGAAATCATCAAAATGATGAGCGTGCTACACATTTTCTATACAACTAACTGAAAATCGTTCCTCATATGACGTCACTGCAGTGCTCTGGCTACCGAGTTACGTAACCTGTCTGTGGTTTCGTTGGCGGTCGAGAGGGAAGCAGGCGACTTTTTGGCAACTTTTAATCGCTCGGTATTAAATAACCACAAGTTTTTAAAGAATAAATTTGGTGTTCTGCATAAGACTAACCACAAATCTTTCATATGTAATGGTTAAAAGAGTAACAAAAAACAAAGTTTAGTGGTTCTTTAAAAGTGGTGTGAAACCATATGTATTCACTCACCCAGTGATTTATTAGGTTCAGGTAGGCATGGTGTGACATTGTACTTAGGCATTTGACCTGTAGTTTGTCTGGCCCAGACTGGGATTTACACAATGTTGTGGTATTCCTGTAACATTGAGAGGTCAGTGCTTTTCCTCCACAACATATGTATAAAGGAAGTTGCAAATGAGAACTCAGAACTTGTACTGTAGTCTGTTGAGAAGGAAATAAATGCATATTTTCTCATTGACAGACACAAAGGGTTCCTACTTTTCCGGACTCAGTGAGGAAATATGAGAAGATATTTTTGAGACATGAAAAGTGGAATATTCCATGCCATATTCAGGAAATTTAATTTAATTGATTCTAACAGTCTCATAATGCCATAGCATCACATATTTGTCATTAGAAACAAATATTTATCCAATATAAACACTTGATGCAACTGCGAGGAGATACTGCTGGTACTGTTACGAATATATTGTGGATGTTCAGAGCTTTCGAACAATACCCAACATCAATTGAATCTTCTTGCATGTTATTCATACAAAGTTTTGAAAACACGGGTGTTTCAGGGTGCTGTCTCATGTTACCAAGCGAAAAGCCACTGGTTATCGGGAAATAGGTGACCATACATGCTATTGGAAAGATCTTTTTATTGAGTAAACATGAAAATGTGACAAGAAATACGTAAAAATGTAGAAATAGGTAAGAAGATACTATGATATAATTTTTGTGCCTATGTTTTTAAAAAGAAAAACCTTTAGGATAATGATGTAAAAGTTGCGTTGTATCATATTTCAAGTGTGCTCTACATTTTGGCACAAGACATTTTTACAACAGAAATACTCTGGCTTATTGACTTGGTTGGGAGTTGCGAGCCAAATGCAATTTAGGCATTATAAATATTGGAATGTCAAGAAGTTTGTCAGTGGTGATTTGTATTGTGTGTGTAAGTAAGTCACTATTCTGGAGCTCTGTCATATGATATTGCTATCAACTCATTAATTTGTTGCTGTGCCATTGCTATAACAAGCATCCTGTGAGCATAAAGAACAGTGATCATAAGTAGAGTCTGTCAAGCATATTGTTATTCTCTATTTCAGAACTGCTGGTAGAGTCCCAACAACAGGCACAATGCAGACGATAAAGTGTGTGGTTGTTGGTGATGGAGCTGTGGGTAAAACCTGCCTACTTATCTCATACACCACAAACAAGTTCCCTTCAGAATATGTCCCAACGGTAAGCACAGGGCTTTGTATGGGGTTTGTTTTGTTTCAGCTCATGCTGGAGTTGCCACTGTCTTACTTGATTCAGACAAAGATTCAACACTTGTTTGATACAAAAATAGTCTGAGAACAGTGTGTCTCCTGATCAGTATTAATCATCACAATATTGTATATTTAAGATGTCTACTGGCGTCTAACTTCTTTTAACCTGAAAGTCATACAGAGCATTTATTAATTAAGAATCTGTGTTATGATCCTGGAAACATCTCACCTTTCCAGAGTTCAGTGCAACAAATGCTGAACTGAAATATGAACATAATAAACCTTACCTATCCAGGTATTTACCTTGGGTCCTGTCACCTAAGACTTCAATGGTTTGTACAGAAAACATCCTGAATGCGGGTCTCTGCATAATTTTGAGTAGAATTTATTGTCTTAATATTGATATTATTAGCTGAGCTGTGACCAAACAGAACTTTACTAGACTTTGGCTGCAGACTTGTGAATAAAGACACTGACTGCATTGGATGTGTTTGCAGAATGTTGCTTCCTGGAGATCATTTCTCTCTCTCTCTCTCTCTCTCTCTCCTCCCCCATTTCATACAAAAGGCCCTATGACTGTAATGATGCAGAAGTCCATATTCCAGTTACCCTAAAGTTCTATTCAGAACAGCACAAGTATTTCATGAGTGAATAAAGAAAAGACCTCACACAGCTTGGTTTTCTGAGGGACTTGAAAACCGAGACAGATGACATGAGAACATTTTCATTTTTTTATCCACTTCCCGGAATATTGTGTCAAATCTTTACCAGATTTGAAAATAAAATCTTTGGGACGTGTTCCCAGAGATGGAAGATGAAGTGATCTGAAATCCTGGAGTGTTGTCATGTACTAAGTCCCGTGTACTTGTTGCTGATACATTAGACAGTTGTCTGCCCAGAAAGGAATATTATTTATTTATCTGCTGACTTGTTTGTTGCTGAGTACGGTGTAAAAAAAAATGAACCTGTTCCCCAATGTCATGAACCCTTATTGGAAGCTCAGACCTTGTGTACCGTGGTACTTGTTTCACTTTCATGGTGTGTTTGTACTAGTAGTTATATCTTGTATAGTGTCCAATTGCTATTGAGCCGTTAAATTTTCACTCGCTCACTGTCAGGTGGTAAACATTCTTCACTTGTGTGGTAAACATTCTTCACGTATCTTAGGATCAAATATAAGGCAGTAATTGATTGTAGTCTCATAATTTCTCCATTTGAAAGATATGTCTGTTGGTGACCAAACACATTACGATCATGTTGTTTCAACAAGCAAAACTTTCAAACTGGTAACTTGCATATTTATCCCTTCATGGAATGGTCGCTTTCAGCCAGTTAGTGAATATTAGACCTAAAATCTCATGTAGACAGTAATGTTGGGAATTGGTTAAAATCTCATAATTGATGATTGGTTCATTACCACCGATCAGTCACCGAAAATAATTGGTAAGCGTCATTTAAGAAATTTGTAAATGCACAAAAATATAAGGAAAAAACATGGACTAAATTCGGGGGGGGGGGTGTGTGTGTGGGGTTGGGTTGGACAAAATTTCACATCTTTAAAGGATGACTAGTATGTTAGGAACATAAATTTCTTGGTGTCTTTAAGATAAATTCATTGATGACTTGGAACAAGCTTGTAGTGCAAATGAAATGTAACAGACAAAACCAACCTTGTGAAAAATATCGTTAATGAAAACAAGTGTTCCAGAATTGTTTGTGTTCGATTATGAGAAAACATGATCGATTGCTTGGTCGTTTAGTCACTGTGACCAATCTTCGATTATTTCAATTAATCGGACCACCACTAGTAGACAGTTGGCCAACAATAGATATTTGCATTACGAAATATACCGCTGTAAATATTTATCTATGGTGAAGTTAATTCAGTAATTATCCCATCAGTATTTCTGTGTATCAAGTAAGTTCATTCAGTAATTATCCCATCAGTATTTCTATGTATCAAGTATCAAGTAAGTTCATTCAGTAATTATCCCATCAGTATTTCTGTGTATCAAGTAAGTTCATTCAGTAATTATCCCATCAGTATTTCTGTGTATCAAGTAAGTTCATTCAGTAATTATCCCATCAGTATTTCTGTGTATCAAGTAAGTTCATTCAGTAATTATCCCATCAGTATTTCTGTGTATCAAGTAAGTTCATTCAGTAATTATCCCATCAGTATTTCTGATGTATCAAGTAAGTTCATTCAGTAATTATCCCATCAGTATTTCTATGTATCAAGTAAGTTCATTCAGTAATTATCCAATCAGTATTTCATTCAGTAATTATCCATCATCAAGTATTAGTTCCAAATTATCCCATCAGCTCATATCAAGTAAGTTCATTCAGTAATTATCCTGTGTATCAAGTATTTCATAATTCATTCAGTAATTATCCCATCAGTGCTGTGTTTAGCTGAAAACAACACTGTTCCAAGAATGCACCATATTCGTCTATTTAATGATTTTAGCACCTTTAGCTGATCAGTAATCAATTTGACCAATTATATGACCAAGTGCTGCAGCACTGATACTCTTCGAGGCAGCTTGCCTTGTCGACTCACCTCAGATGACAACAGTTAATGGATGACATTGTATTTCAGGTATTTGACAATTATGCTGTAACTGTGATGATTGGAGGCGAGCCCTACACACTAGGATTGTTTGATACAGCCGGACAAGAGGATTACGATCGTCTCCGCCCGCTCAGCTATCCACAAACTGACGTGTTCCTAGTCTGTTTCTCAGTAGTATCACCTTCTTCATTTGAAAATGTTAAAGAAAAGGTAAGCTTGGCCCACAATTGCTTTTTAGCATCCTATTCACCTTTATTTAAAATAATTCTAGGAAAATTTAACAATGTCCCAATGTTTCTCTTCAGTATCACCTTCATTGTTTAAAAATGAGGTGAAGTTAGTCTACGCTTGTTTCTCAGTAGTGTCATGTATAGTCAGTTTGGCTCAAAAGCGGACCGATGAATTGCAATCTAACTCGAAAACTAATAAACATAACATACTCAATGAAATGCTGATCATAATCAAAACATCATACCCACTCTGTGAGGTTTTTGCAGAATTTTTGTCCTAAAAATAAAAAGTTGTTTAACAAACTATCATTAAGATATTGACACAGTTCACTATTTGTTACGAGGGAGGAGTGCAGAGAAAGGGACAGCCAGGTGTTCGAGAAACAGACAAAGTTATTTATTCATTAACCTGTGCTGTGCTGTCTCCATCTGTTCTCGAACACCTGGCTGTCCCTTTCTCTGCACTCCTCCCTCGTAACAAATAGTGAACTGTGTCAATATTTTAATGATAGAGTTTGTTTTTATTTTTAGGACACAAATTCTGCAAAAACCTCACAGAGTGGGTATGATGTTTTGATTATGATCAGCGTTTCATTGAGTATTTTATGTTTTTAGTTTTCGAGTTAGATTGCAGTTCACCGGTCCGCTTTTGAGGCAAACAGACTATAATCATTGGAAAGTGTTGTGGATATGGTGAGCTTGGTAAGGCAACCTTATCAGCATTGTATCATGACATCAGAGCCATCCACCATGACACCATGTCTATTTCATAACTGTGACAGTTACTGTAGAGAGTGTGTAATGGAATATGCTAAATCAAAATTGTTCTGATATATTTGTCAAATTTGTATTCATGAAGTATCCAAACCATATATTTCAAGTAATGATGTTGCAACGCTCACTCTGCAGCACAATTATTTACAATGATTTTACAACATGTGATCGAAATTAAGGGGTTCTTGTTATGACCAAAACATCAAGGGTTCCTTGATAATACACTGTAGCAGAAAACCTAAAGGACACCAATTATTTTGAGACATCACTACATTAGTAACATTGCTTTCCCTAAATGAGTAGAGCTTGATTAAAGAATTGAAACCTACCTACATCCACTACAACCTTGGGTAACAATGTTGCACCAGACAAAAAACAGGTTGCACCTGCTAATCAATATGAAGTTAAAGAATATTGATGACATAAACAGTAGCAGTCATTCAGTCACTGTCCATATAGTCATCATTGTCACTACTCCAAGCCAGTTCGGTTCGGAACCATTCCGTTACCCCAGGTGAAGTCTGTGTTCTTCAAACAGCAAAATAACTACGTGCACTGGGTCCATGGTATAAATATGAGGTTGCATTGCACAGTTTCAGGTTGCACCAGTGCAACTTCTAATGATGAAACTGAGCCAAGATAATCTGCCACAAACTTTCATTTCATGTATAAGAAATTTATTAGGGAGGTTTGCTTTCCCTAGAGTTTGAATTAAAGGACCCCCAGAAAAGAACCAATGTGCTAAAAGATGCCCCGAGTTCTGCATTAAGACAAATAATCAAGGACTGGTAGTCACTATGCTGTGTCTGAGTAGGGTATCCATGTTAAACAACGACATACCTCACTGGACTGGCAATATAAAACTAGCGTTAATCCCAACTTTAACAAGCATCCATATAAAAGCTGTCACCGCCATATAGCTGGAACATTGCTATGTGCATTGTTTAAAACAAACAAAACACAATCATCTTGAATGCTACATTAGATCCTATTTTAAACTCACCTTTAACATTAGGGTTATTGCAGCAACCTCTTGACTTGACCACTGCTTTCCATTATGTTTAATACAGTTTATGTTTATTATTCTTGTCCGTTTGTTTCAGTGGGTACCAGAGATTGTCCACCACTGTAATAAAACCCCTTTCCTCCTGGTGGGAACACAGATAGATTTGAGAGACGATGCAGCCACTGTAGAGAAACTTGCCAAGAACAAACAGAAACCAATAACAGCTGAACAAGGAGACAAGCTGGCAAGGGAACTAAAGGCTGTGAAATTTGTTGAATGCTCTGCACTAACACAGGTAAGCATACGAACAGAATGTTTTGTTCTGATAAAGATTAAAGATTTGTCAGCACCATTCTAATGGTTAAGAAATCACCAAAGTGGTAATAGTATAAGACTGACTTCAGTTCAGGCATTCCACTCAAAGTGAGCTGACACACTGTCATATAAGTAGAATACTCAGGGGTGGAAATAACCCATTGCCCGACGCCCGAGTCCAGCGTTTTTTATCTGACGGGCAAGCAAATTTGTATATCACACTGTACCGGTGTCCAGTTGACTTTCCAATGTTAATTGTGTTGTTTATTTAAAGAATCAACAAGAAAACAGCCGGTATAGTGGAAAAATCATCAGGGCAAGTGATTTTACATGTGCCACTGTACCGGAGTACAGTAGCAAATTTAAATTTATTTCCACCCCTGATACTGTTTAAAGCGGCTTTAATCCTAACTCACTTGCATATAGTGTGGTTTCAAATCTTGGTTCACTCTGATCATGGTTACAGCTCTGTCAGCACCAGACATGTTCTCATGGGTTTTGCCAAATTGGTGAACATCTCCGAGAATTGAATCACTTTGGGCTGTCTTCCTTCTTTGAGCCAACATTCAGTGATATAATTTGACTACTGTTCCAGCAGCCTTGAACCCAACTCACTCTTAACAAATCTCTTTCCTTGTTTACAGAAAGGCCTAAAGAATGTATTCGATGAAGCAATCCTGGCAGCTCTGGAACCCCCAGAGCCACCCAAGAAGAAGAAGTGTGTTATTCTGTGAGATTGCTTCAGCTACCTGCTTCAGCTATCGGGCAAAAACATAGCAAGACTCAACCATGTGTAGCAGTGGCATATGCACCTGGTAACCCTCTGCCAAGATTCTGCCTGTCTTGGAGAGGGTTATCTCCCTTGGCAAGCAGCCATTGGGCGCTCTACTGGTTTCTGGTATTGTCATTGGTTGGGCTACACAGTGTTAAATGTTCACATTCTGTCTGAAAAAACCAAAACTGTTTTTTCTGATAACAACTTGTTGCTTTTTATCTCTCAGAAAAAAACAAGTGAAAGACATTAAGTTTACACCATGGGCTGTCTCAAGCAACTATTCTTGGATAGCAAGAGAATTCAAATTTCTGAGTCTGCGTTTGGATTTTAGAAAACATTACTTTGTGTACAGGTATAGTTGAATTTTATGCTTAGTAAGTTCTGTGTACAAACAAAGCAAGTTGTGTAAAAAGACATGCATAAATAGACCCTCTCGGTCCATGTATAAACCAGATGCTTAGGCTATATGTAAATATGTAGACAGTTCGAGCATACAGCTTTCACAAAAAAGGGATCTGTTGTCACTTCTGTCAACAGTAAAATCTCTCTGTCACTGTCTAAGTGTTGGTGAAAAGATAAAAAAAATGCCTCAGATCTCTTCTCGAGGTAAGTCATGAAGTAATTTAGATTTATCAATGAATGGTCATGTGTATTGCATGCCTGTGGTGACTGTTGTTGCCATGGTGGTCGTAGTTTCCATGGATACAGACCAAGATGCCCAGGGCCCTGTTCCTCAAAGCGATCGTAGCGCTACGATAGTCGTAAGCGTATGTTAAAGTATGGGAGTTACGATCATCTTAGCGCTACGATCGCTTTGAGGAACGGGGCCCAGATATGTCTGGATCCCATTTCGTCATGCTCATTTCGTCATGTTAATCAACAGCACTTTGTGATGCCTTGTTACATACTGAGCTTCCTCTTTATAGCTTGTGCACTTGACACAGATTCTTTCAGCTTGGTAAATCTGCAAGTTCATTTTGTCAGTTCGTGATGCTTCCTTCTTTCGTCATGGCCTTTGCCACCACAAGGACCAAATATGGGAGATGTCTAACGTCCAAGCTAATTTCATCAGCACTCCTTACATTTTGAAAAGATGAAAGACCCTTTCTTCTTCTCAATAGAATAATCTTGCAATAGACGTAACAGTGATGTCACTTACACTGCTAATGTAGGTATACATCTAGATAATTATGAGAAACTACATTCAGTATTTGAAGTGGCATATGGCTGCTTCGTCATCAGATACGTTCAGTTCAGGGGGCATTATTTTGAAGGGTATATGAGTAGAATAGTTTAAACCTCTTTTCGTTGAGTGAAGCATTGATGTTGAACTGTAACCTTTGGACTGAAATTGTTTCCAGAACAAAATAGTTGACTTGCAGTTTCTGTTGATGCAATCTTTGCCCCTTGTAGGTTGATAAATGGGGTGGTTGGTGTGTTTCTGATCAGATATAGGCGCCCTTTACAGGTAGGTTTTGTTGAACTATCTGTTGTGTGGCATCAGAACTGGACTCTCTGTTCATTCTGGGGCCAAGTTGCCGCCAGTTTCTCAGACCTGTTGTTGATTTGGTTGTTACACAATAGCATTAGTACCTATGCAAGATATTTGTTTGCGATGACTGTGAACCAATTCGTCGAATGTTCAGAGAATTGAGAATGGGTACCCCCCTTTAAACATTCTCTCACAAAGGAGAATTTAGGACTCAATGGTCGCTTTTGTGATTTCTCTCATTCAGGATAATTTTTACGATATTCTTAAGCTCGTGAGCTCAACATTACTGTAACTGATACAGTTTTTATTGTCAGTCAGTTCGCCAAGGGGAGATAACTCATGCTTGTTTGTGTTGTTGCTGTCATTCCCCCATTAGTAATTTATGCAGATTATATTTATCCAAGCCTCAGCTTTGTGTAGATATTTTTAACCCATGGAATACGATCTATTCTTTCCATCGATTCCCAAGACCAATACGACAAAAAAAATATTGTTTGAAAAAAGAGAGAGGATGTGGTTGCAATATATCAGCATCTGTGGAAAAAAAATATCAAAGAAATGTATCAGGTTGTCCGCATCTCAAACAGCCGATCTTTGTTTCGGGGTCAGTATGTGTAAATATCATTTCTGGATGTTTAAAGTTCACTCACATTTTGTATCAATGGTACGGGACATCAAAGGCAAGAGGAAAAGGAGAAATTCTGGTTGTGCATATAGGAACTTTTAATTCTTATTGTGTTTTAATCCCAGTCTGATTTTCTATAATGGTATTGTATTTAAACACAAGCCAGTTGACCAGACCAGTTTGCTTTTTATTGAAAACAAGGCAAGTGGACAATAAGGCTATTTTGTTTTCCTGAATCATGAAAATGTTGACAAATTTAAGGTGTCGTTCAGAGAATTTATACATCTTCTTTCCTATGATAATAAGGCTGCAAGTGATCTAAAGTAATTGTGACCTTATTAATAGTGTTAAGCCTCTGATGTTCAGTACCATCAGTTTTGCATGTCTCCTCCACACCCATCGTTTCTCCAACACTGGTACTTTTACAGCTTGAAGGCTGCCGAGCGGAGCCGCATGTTGCCCTTCTGTCTACGTCACTCATAGCATTGTTTCTCATCTCAATATTTTAGAGGGCTAGATTCAGACATTTGTATCTCCAGATATTCAATGTGGAATGACATGATATTTTCGTACATTCTTTGACATGTAATCTCTAGCAAATAAACATACCCATGTAAAACCATACATTCTAGTTGTCTTAATTTTACTGTAGATTCCTTAAGTACAAAGGGGGCGGTGGGATAGCCTAATGGTTAAAGCGTTGGCTCGTCACGCCGAAGACCCGGGTTCGAATCCCAACTTGGGCACAATGTGTGAAGCCCATTTCTGGTGTCCCCCGCCATGATGTTGCTGGAATATTGCTAAAAGCGGCGTAAAACCAAACTCAGTAAGTAAGTTAATTACAAAGCATTCTGGCCCTGTGGTTTATGACTACAAATGTCTGTAAAGAGCTGGATCACTAGATTGTCTGGTCCAGACTCGATTATTTACAGACCGCCACCATATAGCTGGAATATTGCTGAGTGGTGTAAAACTAAACTCACGTACTCACTGTAAAGAGTTGCTTCCCTTCCCCATGCCAGGATATGGTGGTTATGGATGAAAATCTTGCTACCTGACAAGGAACTTGAGTTTGTCAGCATCATTTCTGGGCTCAATTCCAGTTCAACTATCATTCAGTTCTTACAAATGATATGACTACATTAACATGGGAGGTTCTGGGAGGCCATATATGCGGAACAACTAGTTAGGGATGAACTTACTCTTGAACTATGCACATCATGAAACTCAACTGGGAATACACCTGATGTTCATGATCCCCAACTGATGTTGTTCAGTATCTGTTGAATGTCCAGCTAATATACCCAGATGAATTTGTTCATCATTGCCAGTGAAAGATTTTCTTTGTAATGAGCTGAGTGCGGCATAAAACTAAACTCACTCACTCACTCTTTGTAATGATGGGGTAGCTGAGTGGTTAAAGCATTGGCTCATCACGCCAAAGACCCAGGTTTGAAGTCCATGCCAGGTGTTCCCCGCCAAGATATTGCTTCCTTATTGCTAACAGCGGCATTAAACCATACTCACTCGGTTGGTCTGTTTAGTTTCCTGTAGGTGTGAAAGTAGGTGGTTGAGGTAGTCACTTTTTAATTGCTTCCTAAAGACTAGACTCTCCACACATGTACCGGTAATAGCTGTCGAGGGCTATTTTTAAATATACTGGACAAAAATAATGAGGGATATATGTAAATTTTGAAATTATGAATACTGATGTATTTATTCATTGACACTGATAAAATATCAATCATAAAAATACAAATATCCCTAACTTATTTTGTCCAAAATATGACGAATCTGAGGGTAAACCTGGATTCATCGCTAAAGGCGACTTCGATTCCAGTCTCTCTGGGTCCATCGATGGAAGTGACGTGATGGGCCCACAGCAGACGAAAATGACATTGATGAAAGCGGGTGTCAATATTGGCGATCAGAAGTGGTGCCAGTTTGTTGTAGGCGACCTCGCCAAAATGTCATACACAATACGAATCGCGCTGCATCCCATTGCTCTTTGCGGCGTCAATAACTGATCTTCCGGCTTGCAACATGCCAACATTTTGACAATGTAATAACTCATTTTACATAGCATTTCAAGTACCGTTAGAACTGTGGTTTAAAAGTGTTTTTCAATTCTTGAGGCCAATGCAAACACGTGCATATGAAGAAAACTCTCGGATCCAAAACACCATCATTCGCGAAGATCTCAACTGATTTACATGACCTCCAGTGATATACGACTGCGCGTGCAAAACCTGATTTGGCACTAACGTCATTTGCACGGCGAATGGATGGGTTTGAGTGGGTTGTGCTGTTTTTCTAGAGTCGAAAGATAGGGATCCCATTTTAGTATATATATAACCTTACTATAGTCAGGAAGTCAGTGGGAAAATGTTTTGTGTAACCTACAATATGAACATAAACCTAAACACACCTTTTGAAAGTTTCAGTAAAAGTAAGGTGGTATCATGGGAATCACAATTTGTTATTAAATGAAATGAAACTGACGTTTTAATGTCAAATGCCCCACAATATATCAATAAACCACCTTGGTGTTAGTTGTTTGGATTCCTATGAGAAGTGACAGAGAAGGTCAAAATATTGAATGAAGCAGTCATAATATATCTTTATGTAGTCAAACACACACACACTCACACACACACTCATGTGTTTAAATTTTGAAATTTATGTAAGCCATCAATTTAAAACAAAATAATTCATATTTTTTTAGCACCCTTAGAACACACTGACTCTTGTCCATTTTTCCAGTTTCTTCAATACATTCATCAAATCAGTGAGACACAGGCACAAACAACATGTCCATTAACCAGGAGATTTGAACATTTTATCCTAAATATGACCTAAAATTGTAACAGAAATGAGAAATATTTTACCAAAAAAACCGCAGTTTCTAAGTTATATTCATAAAATTTTATAAACGGAGCCCAGGGACATTCTACTGTGGTAATCTAGACTTGCATGGGCTGTCTTGGGTATATTTGTTTGAGGGTTTGTATGACAGACTAAGGTAACACTTTAATATTGATGCTGAGTGTATTTCAGGACAATGGAGTACTATGGAATCTTGTTATGGACTGGTGGTGCTGTCCTTGTCCATCATAATGTCCCTTATATACATGTACTTCCTTTCAAAAGTTTAGACTCGCTTAAAGTGAGTGAGTGAGTGAGTTTGGTTTTACACCGCTTTTAGCAATATTACCGCAATATCACGGCAGGGGACACCAGAAATGGGCTTAACACATTGCACCCATGTGGGGAATCAAACCCGGGTCTTCAGCTTGACGAGCGAACGCCTTAACCACTGGGCTACCCCACTGCCCCAGATTTGCTTAAAATATTCACTATATGTAATGTATATATATGGTGACATCAAAGATGAATTTCTCCACTAACTTGGGGAACCAACTGCAAACCTTATGCAGATGAATTCCACAAGGATCATGCATCAAATTGGTGAAAAGCATGTGCAAATATCGTGCATGTGAACAGCTGCGTTTTGGTGTAAAGATTTGTTAAGAATTCGCCATTTTTCACTGATATTTATCATTTATTGAACTCGTAACAATAATCTTTTCAACGTTATGAATTT